TAAGATGAATCAGTATCACCTTCAATGAAATGAAAACGATTAACATCCATGCATTTATACATAAAATCATAAATGAAAACCAAATACCAGTATTTAGCATTATCTAAAGTGCAGAATGCCTCTTGTAAACATGTATCACATCTATAAAATCTATCTTTAAGCATCACTTGATATGTATCTTCACCTATTTCTCTTATGTTTTTAAACTTATTTGACATACATGCAACGCGTGCCTTCTGTGCATTCGTTATTTTAGTCTTTGCGTAATTTTGTGTATTCATTGCATCGTAACCATATGATCCATTAAGCGAAATCTTGCAAAATAAACTTTTTCCTTTATTTCCTTCTAATTCAGCCTTTTGTCTTTCGTTCATAAATTTGTTCGCAAATTCATTAAAACAAGTGTTTTTCGTAAATGTTAAAATTGATTGAATGTCATCAATGATAAAATGAAATCTGTCTATTAGATACCAAAGATAATAAGAAGAAAATGGTTGATATTGGTTGTGTGTTGATGCTAACTGAGTTAATTTCCTCTGTTTCTGGTCAACCGGTAGATTGTTTGATTTCATGTAATTATACATAAAACTGCCAATTGTTTTTTCATCTGTGATAATATCTAAGTTTCTTATTATCGGTAAAAAGTTTATGTAATCATTAATGTATTTTTCATCAATGTGACCCTTTACTTCAGCCACGAATAAAGTATTTTTTCTTAATTATTCCCAATGCTTTTGCTTTCTTTGTTGCTGTATCACAAATGATAACACCATTCAATCTTCCCGGCATATACATTTTATGGTCAGTATATTGAATGAAATCATGAGGATTAGATGAAAATGATGAAGGATATAATGAATTAAAGTCAACTCCAACGAAATGAGTCATAATGTTGGAAGTGTCCTCATTTGATACAGTTTTAGTTTCTGGACTATATGAAAGTTTATTAATGTGTGTGATTCCTTTAAGATTTACTCTATGTTGAACATTTGATAGACCACCAGTAATTCCATTACGGAGAATGTGATAAGCTTCAACTGAATCTAAAGTCATTGGTAAATTATTTTTTAATGCATAATTTCTTAAATTGATTCTTAAACGTTGAACATCTTCATCTTTATTTGATTTTACGACATTGCAATAACAACACATTAACTGACAATTTTCTTTGGTATGTGGTTTTTCATTATCGATTCTATCCAATGTTGGTTTATTTGCATATGTAAACGCTTTACCACACATTTTACATTTAGATGAAAGGATTAAATCGTGATAGTATTGAAAATCATCCATTGAAACATTATTTTTAGTATCCCTTTCTGCTTTTTCATCTTGTTTCTTATATGATTCAATTTTATATTTCCAATACTTTTTCGTTAATTCAAAACTTGATTCTATCTCTTCTTCAGGATATTTTTCATTAGGATTAAAGTCTTTATATGCTAAAGCGTAACGAATCATTGAAGCATTCGATGATAAAGAAAGATTATGAAGCATGTCAATTTTATAAACAAATGTTTCTTCAATAATTTTATCGATTGGGTCAATCATAATTTCAACATCTTTATTGCAATAATGAATAAAATATTCTAATCTATTCTTAAAGTTTTTAGCATCATTGAGATATATTTGATAATCACTATCTGATATAGTTTCTTGGGTTAATGCTGAATAAAATGAATCTTGAGTGAATGGTTCCTCTTTATATAATTCTTCTTCGTAATTTTCCCATGTGATGAATTGATAAGGGAAAAAGGATTTAACACGTGATTTATTGTTTCCGAAATCTTGAGTGAATTGGTCTAATGTCCCACCCGCTATATAATTTCTGATGTCAATAAATCTCAATTCATATGGAGCGTTTGTTTTCTTTACAATGATTTGCTTAAATTGAGAAGAAGAACCCAGCATTGATTTCATTTTCCATTTTGCAGTGTTTAAATCACGAAGAATTAAATTTAAATCAAACTTTCCCGAATTAAAACCTATGATATTCACTTTATTGAATTCCTCATCTAGAAGTTCTTTAAATGCTTCCTTCTGTTTTTCATTTAATGTATGAGACAAAGTCCCCGCCGTTTGGTCCGTTTGCGACTTCATTAATTCTTCATATTGTTCAATATTTGATTTAGCAACTAATGAACAGGTTGAAAATAAAAACTCAATCCAATCAGAAATAAAAGAATCACTCGAAGTTAAGCAAAAATTCCTCGTATATGTTTTATCATTTAATTTAACCGTTGATGATACCATGAATGGTTTTAAGTAAGCGTTCAAAGTTGCACACTCAGAAAGTTGTAATTCTTCTTTAGTCTCTAATGTTTCGAAGTCAAAAGTAATATAATATTTTGTCGGTTGATAATATTCCTGCAAATTATGAGCTAATAACCACTGATATATCTTCTGTTTCGTAATATGTGGTGCATATGGTTGCTGTGTCTTTTGCAACTGAACGTCTTGAATTAATCTCCCATTATTTTCTTTACATTTCTCACAATGCTTTAAAAATCTTCTTTGGTTTTTCCTTTCTGGATCATCACGGATAGAATAAACCTCTTCTTTACAATATGGACAAACTCTATAGCCGGTGAGTGCTTCAACGTCTGTTATTCTGTCAGCGTGAAGTTTTCCACATGGACTCTGTGTTAATAAAATATTTACTGTTTCAAATTCTGGATCTATCATTATTGAATCCACTAATGGAAAGTCTACTTATTTATGTCCACGTCTTCTGGTTGAGGATCACAATAATAGAAATCAATATTAACATTTAACATTCTCGCTAATCTCTCACTTTCTGATGAAATGTCAAACCCTTCATATGCATCTATTGCTTCATTTAAATAGCTTCTACGAGTTTTAGGATTAACACCATCAGGAATGTTATAGAAGCGTTTAAATAACCTTCTACCTTCTGCTCTAATTTGATTATCATTCATTTTAGCGGTTCCGTTTTTGTTCATTTATGTAAGAACAAAAATTAAAAAATAAATAAAAATAAAGTTTATTTTTTAAAGCCCATAAAATGAATTAAGAACACATAAATTTTTATCATCTGCGACGTGACGAATACATTTTAATTTACTCAAGAATGTGTACCCTGATACATTAAATCTAATTCCTGTCTTATTTAATTTCACAACTTTGAAAAGGAATGTATGAATAGCTATAAAATGATGAGAAGATGTTTTATGGGTTGCTTCCATTTTTTCTGAAATAAATGAATAAATATAATGTTTATAAGTTTTCATATCTTTTATGTTCTTAATAACGAATGGTATAGACCTTTCCACTTCATCTTCCTTCGGTGCTGTTCTTTCATATGAAACATTATTGGTATCTTCAATAATGAAACCACAATCACATAAAATTTTATAGGTTCCAATGGTTTCTTTTGATATTTTATCTAATAAATCAAAAACTTTATCAACACCCGTGCATTTATTTAAATAATAATTTGTGTAAATATCATGATCTTCTTTCTTAATCGTATTAGTTGCATATGTCACGTTTTTAAGAGCTTTTTTGAATTTTTCGGAATCTAAAGGTGGTGAAAGTAGGATACAGGGGTATTTTTCATTATCAATAAATTGTAACTTATGTTTACGAATAAATTTAGTACCTTCTTCTGAAAGTGTTTCATCTATTTCGCCATCTAATAAATTTTGTGTTGATTCTGAGACATAATTTTTATATCTTTCTTCATGAGATTTCTGAACTTCTGATTCTGAAGCTGGGATATTCATTAAACCCTCTACTTCATTTTCATTATATTTTTCAACTTCTCTTAATTCCTTAATTTTTTCATCTATTTCATCTCTTATTTTTTCCAGTCTTTCAATTTCATCATATTCATCATCTTTAATTCGTTCTTCATAATATTTAGGGAAAACATCAGGTTCTTTAGGTTTTTCTTCTTTAGATGCGGGATATAAGAAATTTATAACATCATCTTTATTCATTTTTCCATCATAATCAAACTCATTTAAAAACTCCGCGAATTTTTGACAATTTCTTAAATAATATTTATCAACCTCATAACCCGCCTCCTCTAATATATCCTTTATTTCCCTGTTTGTGAATCCTAATTTTTTAACGTCGTTAGTCTTGACACTCATTTCATACAAAATAAAAAAATAAAATAATAAACATAACTAAGTTTTAATTTTTCGTAAGAAGTTTGATTCCATTCATGATTTAAACAATGTTTAATTAATCGCGGAATATCTGACATCATCTATATATAGCTTCTTTTAAAATTAATTTTTTTATCTTTTATTTCATTATGGGCTGAGTGTAAATGTCTTACAATTTTGAAAATTTTTTAAATCTTGATTTATTCAAAAACGTAAGAATAAAAACCGTAAGAATCATACATTTTTTACTTCATATGTTAAAAAAAATGATACAAAATCGTTCAATATTGTATGAATTCTTACGTTTACAAAAAAAGTCACACAACCCATCATATATACTACTTCAATCTAATTCAAATTTGCAATTTCATTTCATTATTATTGCGATCGTATCTTATTTAAAAATTATAAATCAATTAATTTTAGTTAAAAACGTTTGATTTTTTTTCAAAATGTCAAAAATCTCAAGACAATAAATTTTCTTCAATTACAATATTTAATTACTTCAATCATAATTTTGATTCAAAAATTATTTGAAAAAAATTATTTTTTGAGAAGTTTATTTGCCATGTTCAAAATATAACCTCAGTCTATTATCAAAATGCTTCATATCAAAATTCAAGTATTTTAAACACCATTATGCTAGCAATTATTTGTCAAAAAAATTCAATCGTTCAATTTAAAAATAATTTACATATGGCAATACATCGATGTACACAAAAAAGATAACAATATGTAAAGCTATCAAAAGTTATCCCAAAACTTTCGTTTAGTATTTATGTATATTTCAATTTGTAGATTAAAATTTTAAAAAAATCAAAATAAATTGAATTTTCTCAATTTTATTTCTTGCCAAAAAAACTAATGTTTAGAACAGGGTCTAATACAGTTCGGACAAAATTTACTGAAAACGAAGACAAGAAACTCACCAATTATGTTAAACAGCTGGGAGATTCAAAATGGAAAGAAATTGCTAAATTGATGCCTGGAAGAAATGCAAGACAGTGTAAAGATCGATGGGAAAAGTACCTAGCGCCTAAAATAAATATAACACCATTTACAGATGAAGAAGATACAAAATTACTCACTTTATACAATCAAATCGGGCCAAAATGGACACAAATCTCAAAACATTTCAACAATCGTACAGACAATAATCTCAAATCAAGATATAAGCTGCTGATGAGACATAAGAAAAAGGCTGAAGTAAATCATTCGACGCCAGATGAAAATATCTTTACAGAATCGTTGAAAGAGTGTCAGGAATTTCTTTCCTTTCTGAATAATTAAATGTTAACTTTTTATTGCGTATTAACTATTTTTTTTAATAATAAAATTTTTATTTATAGTCTTGCATAATTGAGCATAAATAATAATACATACACCTTTTCATAAAAGGGTAGCAATACTCTTTATCTTAGATTAGGATTTTTAAAATATCTCTCATATTTGGGGGTCAAGAGATACCACATTTATCTATTCATATATTTGATTCCTATAAGAATGAGGTATGCTTTCAAGGCCGTGATTAAACTTTTTTAAAAAAACATGTTCAAACTTAATTTTTGAAACGAATAATATTTATTTAATAAAACACGAGACACTTTCAAAAAATATTATCCTATTTAAACTCAAGTATTACAAACAATTTTAGATCAAAGATGACATTACACGATGATTGACATGTCTTACTCATGGGATTCATTTCTAATTTTGGATGTCAACAAATAAAGTTATCTTATAAAAGCTTAATCTGCTATATGATTGCAATTTAAGAAAATTGTTTAAGAAAATGCTTTAAACATACAGTTTTGATACCTTTATCATTTTTTTGAATAGTCTTTCATAATATTTATGGAATAACTCGAATGGAGGATTAGTTGTGAAATCCACCGATGATTTCTGATTATGCCAATATTTGGTTAACACATATATTAAATATATTTAAATTATTGTGCATGCAAAATGTAAACGGTCAAATTCAATCTATTCAAAAATATATACAATCAATATTAAGCTTTTTCTTATGTACTAAAATGATCTTGTTTTTAAACTAATTTTAATAGTAATACATGTAATGGTTCATCCTATTTTCAAGATTATTGCCTCGTTTTGATTATTTTTTATTGAATAATATGATTAAATAAAAGTTGAATAGGAATATTCTGCTACTGATCAAATATGTAAATAAATTCCACATATTTTTCCCTCAATTTACTCTTATTTAATATCAACCACATATTTTTATGCCAAATTATAGGAATATTATAGAAAAATTGTGATATATGGTGTCAACTAAGATAGGTATAGTTATATCAATATGAGAAATTGTAAAAATCCTACAACGATCATTCAGATTTCGACAGAAATGGCAATCGTCCTCATTCAATAACTTGAAAATTACCAACCGATTTTAAATCAATAGAATATACCGAAAGTCCCTAAACTAAGCAAATTACGGATTTGCTGTCAGAAAAAAATTCAGGCAAACTCTCGCATAACCTCTCTGAATTTTTTCTGAGATTTTTAACTGAAGCGCAGAAAAGATCATCTTCAGCGATTATACATATTAATTCTCTCAATATTGCATTTATGATAGTGAATCATATATCATCAATTTGGAAAAATCAATGCAAGTTTAATATTTTGGGGAGATTAAATAAACAAGCTTCGTATCAATCAATTATGGATATTGGAAAGAAGTATGTGAATTTATGAAATGTTATCACTTTATATCGCAATTCAAATCAATATTTGAAAGAAAATATTTTTGATGATGATTTTGAAATTTGCGTTATTATTAACAATCAAAGATTACCTTGCCCATATTGATATTACTGCATGATATAGCAAATAATTTTAATATTCTTTATATCTTAAATACCAAGGGAAAATGAAAATAAAATGAAATTTTATTTATATCTTGGATTCAAATTTTAATGATTATTCAACCAACAATAAGGTGATGTTCAACAATTATTAACAATTTTTGTGTTTTCAAAAAAAATCCCAAATTTGGTAAAAATAAAATTCCTGTTATATTTAAATAAAATTCCCAATTGAACAATACCTTAATTGATTATTGAAGAAATGCTAAATACTAAGTATCATCCAATTTTTGTCTACCTTTTGATCAAAAGTGACGTTTATTGATAATTTATTGTCACAAATTTTTAACACTAGAATATTATTCTCCAATTGCATTCCGATATTTTCAAAAAAAGTTACGGATACTGTTGCTGATTGGTTATCAAAACAGGAAAAGTGACAATTATGATCTGCTGCTTCAATTTTTTTAGGTTCTATTCAAAATATAAAATAGTTTCAATTCAAATTCTTACATCATTTCTGGAATATGATGCAGGAAGATAAGCGGTGCGAGCACATGAAGAGAATGAAATGGACCAAAGATGAAGATCTTCTACTTCAGAAAGCTATTGAAACAATCGGTGGCTTGAAATGGGAGAGAATATCTCAATTAGTCGGCACCAGAAGTGGAAACCAGTGTAGAGAGCGCTGGTATTCATTTTTAAAACCCGATATATTAAATAATCCATGGAGTAAAGAAGATGATAAATTACTGATGAAGCTTCACCATAAATACGGTAATAAATGGACGTCCATATGCGGTTCATTTACAGGTAGAAGCGTTTCCAATATTAAAAATAGATGGAGAACGTTAACGAGAAATAAAAAATCTACTCCAAGAAAATCCCAAACTGTTGTTCCTACTTTGTCAATGAATTTTGACGTTAGTAGTATTATTACTCCTAATTTGGAATTATTCCCTTCGTTTGATACAAACGAAAAGGACTTTTCATCAGATGAATATTTTGATATATTCACAAATTTTGATATTTAAGTTATATTATAAATTGTATGTTAGCTGTTTAATCAGTTCTAATTTCTTCTTTTAACTACTTTATTAAAAAATTATATATTTTTTTCACTTCTTTGCTGTCTTTTTGCCCTTTCTGCTTCTTTCCTCTCTTAATTTATGCGCGGGTGTTAAAGCATAAATAGTAAAATGATGTCCTCTGCTCATTTTGGTGGGATTTTTTATAATTTCTTAAATTGTAGTGCACTTCATAAAAATACAATCTAGCGTTATTAAAGTCATATTCTGATTAAATTTTTCAATAGATAAAAGATTCAATATTCGTCAAGCTGAAATGCACAGTAAACTAATCTGGACTAGCAAATACATATTTTAAATAGATAATTCAGATGTTTTTCATTCCTGTTGAGTTTTTGGTAATTATTTGTTCATCAATCGTTGCGGTTAAAATTTTCGGAATGCATAATTATAATTTCCAAGATGGGTATAAACGATTTTCTCACTTGCGAAGATGATTTAAGCATTCCTCTTTCCATTTGCCAGTGTAAAATTTGAAAAGGGCAATTTGAAAAGTGACAAAAATCTTTCTACCGTTGGCTATACTGAAAAAGCATCAACCGTCATGTTATATAATTTCCATAGTAAAATCGATATATAACAATTCAAGACTAAATTACTCGCTAAATAATAATGAAATCATGCAATTATGCTATAATTCAATATTTCGACACTAAAAATGAAACGGATATTATTCTGAGCATTATTACATGCTTATCATAATAATATATATCCTCAGTTCATGATAAATGTAAATTGAAATCTAAGAATTTATGCAAAACATAGTCAAAATTTGATAAAATACATATTCTAAATCATATCGCAAAAATGCAAACTATTAATGAGGTGTGAAAATTTATATTTTGTTCTTTTCTCCTAATCATTATATTTGATCGTACATCTGTTGCATGCTAAGATCAGTCATAATGTAAACCTCTCAATTTTATTGTCGTGGGAAGTATCTCAATTCCTTCAAAAAAATTGAAAAACTATTTAATTTTAAAAATATAATACTTTTAATTAGTTAATTAATTGGAGATATTTTTAAAAAATCACTTTTGATAATACTTTTGAGAACTTTAATTAAAAGATATATTCAAAAATATCCAGGATATCAAGAGGGAATTGTTCCTTATGAGGTATATAGTTATGATGTATACCTCATAAGGAACAATTCCCTCCTTAAAACGAGAAAACTTGTTCGAAATTGTTTATCATTTCGAACAAGTTTTCTTTTTTAATAACAAACTAAAGGCTATGAGGCACTGATTATATATTAGTGCCTCACAGCCTTTAGTTTCTAATAGATAGCTGGGAAACTTTCTCCAAATGATAAGTTATTCAGAGAAAGTTTCCCAGCTATCAAGAGGGAATTGTTCCTTATGAGGTATATAGTTATGATGTATACCTCATAAGGAACAATTCCCTCCTTAAAATCGTAGACATTTTTATACTTATTAATCAACCATTCAAAATCATATTCCTCTGAAAAGTTATTTTATTAAAAATTTAGAATTTTAATAAATATAGAGTTTGAATTTCATACAATACCTATATATTTTCAATAATGGAATTTGAAAACCATTCTCAAAAGTTCTCAGAAAACCTTTTTTCATTAATTTTAAGAAATCTGAGTATTAAATTAAGTGATAAATTCGTTTGACACTACTTTAATTTTTAAATTCAAAAAATTATATGTGCTTCTTAAAATGACTCAAAAAAATTTATTATAAAATAATATATAATATTAAAAATCCCACAACATTTTTTTACTTTACATAATCGTACTTCCTCGACGATTAATTTCCACTCAATTTCTATCGTTGACCGAACTTAGCATGCAACACATCAGAATAAAAATATGACAAATAAAGAGCTATCTCATTTTACTAACAAAAAAAATAAGAAATTTAACAATTACATGAATTTTCCCCTTTTTCGCTATCTGTAAGCCTAATAGGCTTAATGTCATCTTCGTTTTCTTTTTTAATGGCTTGATACTTTTGATTAATATCAAAATTCAGTTGATCTTTAAATTCGTAAAAGCCTTGGCCAGTTTTAGATGACACTTCGAAGTATAATGCATTTATTGTTTTAGATAACTCATATGCAAGTTCAGATTTAACTCTTCTATCCTCTGACAAATCAGCTTTACACCCAATTAAATAAATTATGGACGATTCGGCATATTCTTTGACTTCGTTGTATAAATTAGGAATATCATCAAATGAATATGGATCTGTTAGTGAAAATACTAAACAAAAAACTTGTGCATTAACATAATACATAGTGTTAACACTTCTATAGCGCTCTTGTCCGGCTGTATCCCATAATTTTAGGGTAAAATTCGTAGAATCTTTGGTAAAATGATAATTTAAAAATGAACCACCAACGGATTGCTTTGTATTCTCTTCAAATGAATCTGTAGCTAATTTTATCAATAAACATGTTTTTCCTGTATTGGTTGCACCAACAGTTACGAGCTTGGCTTCAAAGGTTTCATTCATATAAAAATTTTATGAACTTTTTTTTAGTTTCCTAAAAAGCTAGTCTGAATAATGAGAAAGTGAAATTTGCAATTTTATAAATTGTATGTGATAGCCGTATTAAAGGATTTGAATGCATCTTCATTCCATAAAAAAATCCTTATTAGAATGAGAAGAATGACTAAAATAGTAGTATATTGGCCTTTAGATAATGTGATGTTGAATAATGATGGCAAAAAATGAATTGCTAATCAAATTATTTCATTTGAGAAATTTTGAATTAACTCAGTGATTTGATGATAATATATGCATTACCAATTAATTATTTAATAGTTTGTATATTAATATTTTAATGATATCAATTCTCAAAGAGCGATTTGAGAGATCAAAGATGTCTCAATTAATTTTATGAACATTGATGATCACAAGTGTATATAGGCATTGTAGAGAGTATAAAGAGAAAAATTTGAATGTTTTAATAATAAAAATTACTCACAATTTTCTTCAGAAACATTAATTGAGAGTTATTATGTGATGTTCTATTAGAGGAATCATAGACATTGGTGTTTTTCAACATTTAGATGTGAGATATTTATAATAAAATTGAATATTTCCATCAAATCATTTTAAATTGGTTGTTTAAAAATTTTATGCAAATTTGATGGAAATATGGTAAATACGGTTTTATCTATGAAATACTTTTGAATGATCAAAGTATTCAAAATTTTATATTTTTTTTATCATCGAACTAAATTGCTATAGAATGTATTATGAATAAAACAAGCTACTTTTTGGTCGCTTTTTACGCTGCATATTTAATTTTTAATAGGTCACTATAATGCATTGCATATTAAAACAAATGGCCCAACGTCAATTTATTTTTTTGAAGAGTTGTACTGAGTTTTGAATTGCACGTTAAATAAATCATTCAATTATTTCAATTGCTTTCCATTGATCAACTATACATAATAAACATAAATTATTAATCTATTCGTGATACGAAAATTTTAACCGCACGTTTTAAATTGAGATTAAAATGATTATTTAGAATGCACTATGGTAGTATGATATAATGGTGCTAAATGGTCGAGTCCCTCAATTTTTTGATATCTTTTCAAATTTTCTTTGAATAATTTGTATAAATTGAGCACTTCTGAACCTCCACAAACTAATTTTCACAGGTTAAAAATGTCATTATGTGCTTAGTTTTATTAAAATACATGTTAAAATTTTTCTCACCTTTCAGAGTTCTTTTCAAATTTAAAACACAAGAGTTTATTTTAAATCTTAACTTAAAATAGCAAATTATTCTATTCATTTCATATTATTGTAATCTTAAGCATTGACATTGATCTCAAAAGCCACACTCCTCATAAATAGAAAGCTTGTCTCAAAATTTGAATTCTCTTCTCAAAATCTTTTATGTGATAACTGATAATTATTTTCTTGAATGAACGCCAGAGACGAGGAGTATATAAAGATGAAGAATTTCCAGTATCGTGATACTATTGGCGCTGGTGCATGTGGTGTCGTATATCTAGTTTATGATCCCCAATACAAGACTGAATTTGCTCTGAAAACTGTTGTTGAATCAAAGTTTAACCAGAATGAAGTTGATTGTATGAAGCAGGTAGATGACCCTAATGTTATTAGATTGTATCATTATGACTATTATAAAGGCTGTGTTTACATGGTAATGGAGTATTGTGCAACATCCCTTGAGAAAGCTGTAATAAAGAAAAACGGACTCCCATATAATTTACTTAGGAAATATTCCATTGGTGTCCTTAAAGCTGTCAGAGCATGCCACAATGCAAAGATCGCTCACAAAGATATCAAGCCTGTCAACTTTTTGATTGACTTCTATGATAGAATCAGAGTGTGTGACTTTGGTTTATCTTCAATACACTCTGGAAATGAACCTGACCAAGTTTTTGTAGGATTTGTCCCCTTCATGCCTCCGGAAATATTACTTCGTAAACCACATGATGCATTTGAAGCTGACATATGGGCTATTGGCGTGACCTTCTTTATAATGGCCACAGGTAGACTTCCTTGGAGTGGAGACAATAGATCTACAATTTGTCAGAACCTTCTCAACTTTGAGCCAAGATTAGATCTTATAGAAGATAAGGTATACGCTGATGTTGTTAGATTGTGTCTCTCAAAGAATCCTGATAACAGACCAACGATTCATGATTTGCTTTCCTTAAGCATCTTCAAAGAAGTTCAAACAATTATCCAAAAGCATCCGAGAAGGGCTCAGCTCCTTAATAGTAGTAGAATTGGATATTTCTCTCAAGCTTCTCTTATTATCCCACCAAAACAGAAACGAGCTAAGCTTGTCCAGAGCTTTTAAGCTTTGAATTTATTTTATATTATCTTTGTTTATTAATTTAAAGACTCCTATCGATTCTAATTAACAAAAATAATCTGAAATTTTTTTTATTAATATTAAACTATATATAGGAATAAAACTAAGATGTAAATAAGCACAATATATCAATACAATGTTTTTAATTTAAAACAACACTATAATTATATTTATAATATTCTATTATGAGTTAAGAGGTTCTTTATCATCAGCAAGATTAACTAGATCACTTGAACTTGATGACTCTATCTTTTCGAGAGGATTCTGTTCAGCATGCTTTTCTGCAAGTTGCTGCTTAATTTTTGCGAATTCTTCTCTAGAAATCCTTCCACGAATTGCGGGGATGATTCCAAGTAAGAAGAAGATGCCGGGAACTGTTCCAATGACAACTCTGACGGCCATTAAAGCCTTTTTCGGTTGTTCAACAGATTGACCGTTTGTAGACTCTTTGTAGCCAAAAGCTCCGAGTACAGCTGATACAATGGACATGAAAACTCCTGAACAAACCTTGTAGAGGAATAAAATTAATCCGTAATAAGCTCCTTCGCGTCTTGTTCCGAATCTGTATTCATCTATTTCGACCACATCAGGCAATGCTGCATTAGGAAGGATCTGAATTCCACTCATTCCCATTCCAGCGAAAATTGTCAAAACAATAATTGCCCAAGGAGTCTTTTCTGGTATGAATATTGCGAAGATAAGTACTACAGCCATGTAAACAGCTGCTGCCGAGTACACAGCTGCCTTGGAAAACTTTTCGCTTATTATAACCCAAAAAGCAGCGGAAAGGATAGCACAAACCAATGGAATGGCAACGTAAACCATGGCCATGATGCCACCGCCGAACTTTAATGAGTCGTTGACGAAGAACATAAAAGTCATCATGATGACATCGAAGCCAACCATTGAAGATACGTAAGTAAGTGTGCAATTCCTGAACTCCTTGATGGAGAACAGTTCTTTAATTGTCTGGAAAATGGACTTATTTGTTTGTTCTGTATTATCGCATCTTTCTTTCACGAATAAGCCAGAACAAAGCACGCAAATTGCAGAAAGTATGGCAAATAATACTCCCGCAATCGTGTAAGCCTTGGAAACCGACTTCATAGGCTTATACAATAAGCTTTCCGTTCCATCTGCCAGAAGAGCAAAAAGTGCCGCACCGAAAATGATTCCGATATTCGCCATAGTGATTCTCCATCCATTTAAGGATGTTCTTTCGTCGTAGTTCTTTGTCATGTTCGCTGATAATGTGTTGTATGGGGTATAAACAATCGCCCAGCAAGTGTCATATATGATATACATGAAGATGTAATATACAGCTTTAATACCTTGGCTTTTCTCCTGGCCTGGTGTGATCCAGAGAAGCACAAAGGATGCACCAAATGTAAGAGCCCCAAAAATAATGAAAACTCTGCGTTTTCCTAGTGAGTGGTTGCATCTATCGCTAATTCCACCCATTGCATATGATGCTATTGCATCCCATGCACGTCCTGCGATGTTAATAACTGATGCAAAGTATGGGGTTACGCCTGATACATTGATAAGGAAATATATGAAATAAAAAGAAATTGCTGACTGTAAAATGTTAGCCGCAAAGTCTCCAACACCGAAACTAAACTTCTCGCCACACTTTAATTTGTCTTCTACAAGATCTAAATCGGTCGCGTCGTCCGACATTAACGAGATGAATTGAATACCTTTTTGAAAACCTAAAATAGTCATTCTGAATATTTTTATTATATGAATGAATTGATGCATCTTTTACGATGATACAGTCTTAAATTATTGAATTGATTCAGTTTACAAATTTTCTGTACTTTATCTAAGATTTTTGTATATTATTCATGAACATTAATTTACAGAGTTAACATTACATAAACTTCTGAATTTTTTTTTCAATTCGATTTGGTCACCAACCCTTTCTGAGGTTTAAACAATAATTTGTAGTTATACTTTTTATGGACAATAGAGTATTCAATTATATTTTTTTAAGATTTTTGTTGGTAAGGAGATCGCATTTTTCCCGGTGAATTTTGCTTCGGGATGCCATTCGTTGTGCGAGTTTATATGGTGGCGAAAGATGCTATAGAGGCATTATGGCTTGGTTAAACTCACCTTGATAAATAATCTGAACGTTATTAAGTTTAAAACTAGATTTTTCTGATTGACTTTTCTATATTTCGCTTTGTTTTTTAATTTTTTCAACGAAAAATATATGGATTTTAACCGATATATAATTTTTAAGATTTATTGATTAGATAACGCATTTACTTGAGTGGGGGACAAACTCGCCCATTGTCACTTTTTCATTAACCTTAAACTTGTAATTTTCATTATTTTTAATTAACCTTATTTCTTTCCCAATTCCTGATTTATTTTATTCACTTACTATTAAAAGTCACATTTTAATAAAATATAATAATTTATTTATAGCATTTTTTACTATACTGTAATAAAAAATTAATTATAATAAATTAAATGTTTATTAAATCAAATGTTTTCTTTGCAATAATATTTTTAATGTTGAGTAAACAATGTTGGGATCAAGTGTATCATTTTTCAGACCTTTCTGAACAGCTTCAAGCATACTGATGCATTCGACTTTTTTAAATTGTGTCATTTCTTCGAAATCTCTTGTGACTTTTTTGATAACTTTAACACTTCTCTCTGAATCCAGACCTTTAATTTGCAACTTAATCAGGAATGAAGGAACAACACTGGAATATAACTCGATGACAAGTTCATCGAGTCGAAGATTTCGCCTTTCTGGGAAGTACTGGTGCTTCAAAACCTTGAAATGTGATTCCGAGATGTTGTTTGTTCCATCTCCTTCATTTCTATAGCGAAGCATCCACCTGTCAAGATGATGGCGCCACTGTCGGTCAAAGTATTCACGGGCAGCAGGTTCCTCATTTAAAATTTCTTCTAAATTGTTGTAAACTTCATCAGGATCAATTTCTTCCTCTTCAGAACCAAAGACCAATAACTTCATTAAGTTATAGAAAGTTTCGAAGTTGGAACGATCTTGAAACTTTTCAGCCTTTCTCATGACAGCGCGCAACACATGAACGCCACACCAAATGATCTGGCATAAGGGGATGGCTGTTTCAACAGCATTTGTGATTTGAGGTGCGCAGTCCATTGAAAAATAAGATGGTTCGCGATTGATGGAGCCAAAATATGCTGTGAGACAAACTTGTATATTTTCACTTGTGTCGGGCCAAACGAAAAAATACAAAAACGGAAAAACAATTGATTCCGCGAATTTGCCAGTGACGGCATAAAATGGTATGCGAGAGCGCAAGAGCTTATAAGTGGAATCAATGTGATAAGTTTGTATTTGATGTGAAAAAGCATTTGCTTCGAATGGGGCGTAATAGAAAATCATACGATCTGGCTCGTGAATAAACTCGATGAGATCATCCGGAGAATGACTCTTAACCATGTCGACAAAAATTGCAAGAGATGTAACATCATCCGCTGAGAAACGGGTATTGATTGCATGAAGGCGTTTAGAAAACTTTTTTAAAGCATCTGTAGATTGTTGAAACATTTCCGGAATGATCCCACTATCAAATGGGATATTAAGATCTTTGAAACACCTTAATTGTGCGTAAACACGGTCTTGATTTGATTCAAAATATCTTGTTAAATAAGATCTATAAAAATATGATGTAATTTGTTGTGATTTGTTTGGAAAAGGGGCAGAATGATTGTGGGTGTTAATACATTTTCGTATGTGGTACTTGTCATCGGGAAGTGTATCAACAAGGAAGCGACATGGACAATTCGGCCACTTACAATTAAATTGGATTTGATTTCTTTCTTTCCTAGTTTTATATGAATAACTACAACCTGCTTGGATTTCTTATTGCACTCCATACTTAAGCAACTCGATATATGTGAGTTCGTGATCTTGGATCTGCATTAAAATGAAATGATTTGAAAGAATAAAGAATTTTGAATATATTGGTCTTATTTTGATAAGCTTGGTCGTGTTTTGAATAGCTTGGCCATCTAATTCAATTATGATCTTTGAAAATTAGGTGAAATAAAACTAAACATAAATGTAAAACTAAGGATATGAAATTTTGGTTGTACACCACTTGTATGTGCCGGATACCATTGTGTCAATTTTTTTCTGAAATTAACTTTAAAAGTACTAAGTAAGATCATGAGATATAGCAATATATGTTTAAACCAACTTATATTTTGGTTGTACACCACTTGTATGTGCCGGATACCATTGTGTCAATTTTTTTCTGAAATTAACTTTAAAAGTACTAAGTAAGATCATGAGATATAGCAATATATGTTTAAACCAACTTATATTTTGGTTGTACACCACTTGTATGTGCCGGATACCATTGTGTCAATTTTTTTCTGAAATTAACTTTAAAAGTACTAAGTAAGATCATTTATTTTTGCATAATATAATGCCAATATGGTTTCTTTTGATTTTATTTCATTTATAAGCAAATCAGATTTACCCAAAAACTCCACTCCATAAGCGTTCATTTGCTAAATTAAAAAGTGACAATGGGCTAGTCTGTCCCTTTCTCCATTTACTTTCATGCAGTGAAAGTAAATCAACGTGAACAAACAATTTATTCAAAACAAATTTAATAAACATTTTCAAAACTCTTAATTGATTTCCTTTGTTCGAACTTTTGTCTAAGTCCTGAATGCTCATTCATAACTCTTGCTCTGAATATAACAGGAGTGTTTGGATGGATTCTTACGCGTGCAATTGCAGCTTCTGTGTTGATTCTCTTCACGATAACAAGTCTTGCGAGTGAATTTGGTGTTGCTGGATTCTCTTGAGATTTGATGTATGACATCATATCTGCGGCGCTTGCCCTTTCATCTGGATCGTAGACAAGGCTGTTCTTAACAAGCCATCCAATGATACCTTGTGGTTTAATGTCAATTTTCAGTTTGTTACTTTTGATATCGTGTAAGAACTGAAAATCACTTTTGTATTCAAATGGAAAACATGAAGCAGCCAATAAGTGGATTGTAATGCCAAAGGCCCAAATATCAGCCTTCATGCCATCGTAAGGCTTGTTTAAGAAGATTTCTGGAGCCATTAATTCTTGTGTTCCACAAACAGTTTTCAAATTTGATGACTTCTCTCTGCAAAATCCAAAGTCTATAAGCCTGGCGTGCATATCCTTGTCAAACATAATGTTTGCTGGCTTGATATCTCTATGGCTAATGCCTCTTTCATGAAGGTATATCAAAGCTCCGAGTATCTCGATTGCAATTCTGATCTGATCCTGCTGTGTCAAGAAGAACTTATTGTTGATGAAATTCTGCATGTCGCCGTTCTCCATGTACTCCATTATGATATAAATGAACTCTTGTGCATATACGATATCGTATACGTGAACAATATTGGGATGATTGATTCTTGATGTAATTCTAAGCTCATTCTCAACGTAAGTTAGAATTCCCATGTCTGCAGCTGTTTCTCTTTCGATAACTTTTATAGCAACTTTTTCTCCTGTCTTGCAATGATAAGCTAGATAAACTGTAGCGAAACCACCAGATCCGAGCTCTTTGTCGATAATGTATTTTCCAATCATCTTCCTAGAAGCTGTTGGAATTGTTTGCTTCCACATTGGGCTATTAGACATCTAAATATAATAATTTTAAAATTTCAATGTATTAAAAATTCAATATGATATCATAAAAACTATTTCAATATATCGCAAGTGGTCATTTGCAGTAAGACTTGCTTCATTCATTGCGAGGAGTACTTTGATTAAAACATAATTATTTTGAGGGTTTACTTTTGAGAAAATAAGTAGTTTATATTTTCAATTTGAATGATTTTTAATTACATTGAGGAAGTATTGAATATTTGATTTTAAAGATTTAATCACTGGGGTGCATACCTCATTCTCAGCATCATTTTCTCAATGACCCATCTAAGACACAGAAAATCTTTTGAAATTAAAAAAAAATATTGGTAATGCAACTTAGCCTGGAGATTCAGCATGGATTGATATTATTTTCGATAGTAAAATATTGATAAAGGATTCTTATTCAAATAAGATTTTCGATATGACATTTTGAATTGGAAAATTTTAAAAGCTCTATAAATAATAAGTAAAATCAGTATTTGATTATCGGATTTTCTATTGGCGTGTTTACTTTCAATTTCGTTTTCTGAGAATTAGAATTGCTCAAATTAAAAATTAGATATTTGAATTCTAAATAATGATTGCAAGGAATTCTCTTTTATTTTAATATTTTACTTTTGAATAATTTATGATGATTATATTTTTGAATTATGATTGTCAATATTTGATAACTATTCAAATGTGATATTTCTATTAAATGGGTTTATATTGTCTTGTATTAGATAATGAAAGGTTTGTTTTACAGGCGACCTATCGTTCTGTGGAATTTTGAAAGGGCTTTTTTTCAGCAATCATCCATATAATTTGAACTACGAATGGTGTTTACATGTGAATATTTATTCAGACCAGTCATATCGGAAAATTCGTGATTTTCCTCTCAATTTCAAATTTTGCAATTTTAATGTATTTATATCATCTCATGTATTTGGAGAAGAAATTTCACGAGTTACTTTTGAAAATGTTTTTAAAACATTTTAAATTTGAAATAATTGCAGAAATAAATAAAACCATCCACTCACTCAGATTTATTTGATGCTATAAATCTAATTGAATTTTCAAATTTGACATCAATCTGAAATGAAATTGCTAGTAAGCATAATAATCTTTCAAAATCCATGTACTGATCTATAATACTGCATAGAATTTAATGATTATTCTTTGAATAATTAAATCCTATACCGAGACAAGATTTCCGGCGTTTCCAATTTTTTTTTAATTTTTGAAATTTAAATCTTATATTGAGACGCTTATACGACTTGAGTAGATATTTCAAAGATAAATATTTTAATTTTCGATTGAAACAAGTCTTGATATGACGAATGCTCTGTTAGTTATTTCTCTAATATCTGTACACCGGGGGAGAGTTGTCCTTCCACCGACCAGTCGTGTGGCAGGTCGAACCGACGCCAGTCTTTTTCTTGATAGTTGGGTCTTGCCATCAGCGAGTCGTCGGCGAGACGGAACAGCCAGCCTTTCGTTCATCTTGGCAGGCTTTACAAACGATACTTGCGCTGCCATCTCCACGATGGTTGCGGCGCACAACATTATCAGGGTAAATATACGTTTCATAAGTGGTTGAGTTTATATACGATTGTGGTTACACTTTGGGGTTCCAGCAGGATTTGCTGGTCACTTCGAGGGTTGTCGGAACAAGTTGCTTGGCAGCAGTAGTGGTGTAGAGGGTCACTTGTGAGGGTTTTGCCATCCATCCTTGGTGAGACTCGTTCAAGCGAATGCCTTTGTCTGAGAGATTGCTCATCACCGTGACGATCTCACTGCCGTCGGGCGAAATCCACGACAAACCGAAGAAGTCGCGCGACTCGTCGTAGGTCATACTCAGGCGTTGGTATCCGGGACGGATGAAGCGGCTGTAATTTCCCAAAACCCACAACGAGTGTGTGACAGCGTAGGTTCCTTCCTCTCTGATGTCGCCCCACTCGCCGGCTGCGGGAGTGAGGGAGATGAGGAGAAAACGATTTTTGTGTCCATAGTGCGGTATGTCCATTGCCGTCCAGAAACTCCACGAGGTGACGTTTGCCACGGTCACGTCGTTGTGTATCACTTTGGACAGATACATGGCAATGTCCATTTCGGTGGCTTTGTCGTTCCCTGGATATTCTTCGGTCTAGTATCCGTCGCCCAACATGCTCCATTCGCTCTGCCACAATTCCAGTATGTGACCTTGGGCGGCAGTCGCCACAGCGGCTCGTACGTGTCTCAGGCCTTCATGCTCTGTGGTCCAGTAGCTGTGGCCGCAGATGAGGGGGCTGACGTGTGACAGATTGCCGATGTAGTCTGGCGAGTCGTCGGTGAAGAAATCGGCTATCACGTTGCTCCTTCCCACGTCTCCTTTCGACTTGTAGAGGAATTCCCAGTCACCCGCTTCGCCGGGCAGGATGGTGATCTCGAGGTTGCGGGCTGTCAATGCGCGGTCGAGACTGCGAATGAGCCGGGCGGCTTCGGCATTTTGCCACCCGCTGCCTTCCTATCCGCTCTCCCAGTTGTGTTGGAGTTCGTTGATGGGAGAGATGTGCGTGACGGGATAGCCCGTTTTCACATACATGGCAGCCACATCGGCAAGATAGTCGGCAAAAGCGTCGTAGGCGTCGGCTTTGAGGTTTGCCTTTCCACCGTTGAATGAAAGACCCTTACCGTTGAGCATCAGGTGTACGGGTGGCGTGTTGCTGAACAATACGATCGATGGACAGCCCATCGTCCTTGCTTGTTGCAGGAAATATCGTTGTCCCTCGCAGCGTGTCGGGTCCCATTGCAGATTGGCGTCGAGGTAGGAATCTGCCCTTCGGGTCGGGTTGCTGATGCCGGAGGCATCACCTTGTGAGGCAGTGCCTCCTCCGGCATTGGTACGCCACATACTCAACCCTATGCCTTGCGGTTTGCCATCGGTCAGTGCTGTGGAAAACAACAGCCAGCTGATTGATTCGTGTTGTCGGGTCCAGTATTTTCCCACAAAGTCGGTCATCCAGCAGTCCGAAGCCCCGATGCCCCGCATGGTCTGAAATCGTTGCGAAGTGTCGATGGTCACTGCCTTCTCGACACTGGCAAAGCTTATTCAATCTCGCTGAAATTATTCGAAAATTTTAACGTCATTTGTTGGGAAAAGAATATGTGATGAATTCTGATTTTAAATGTATTATAATAACCAAACAATAAGATTTCCATGAGTTTTGATGATAATAAATTTTTTGAAAAATTCACTATTTGGTTGGCGCTTTGCGCTGAAAATAGATTTAACATTTGAATGTAAGTATCCCTATTCAGATATTTTTGATAGAAAATATGAATAATTCATAAATATGCTATTTTAACTTTTATCTATCGTCATGAAATGCAATAAACCCAACAATGTAAACAAAGCTAATTTGCAACAGAATGTTGCTGTAATTCAATTTTTATCAAATTTATTCATAGGATTTGCTTTATAACCATTAGGAGGTAAAAAAAAGGCAATCCCGAGAAAACACTAACTTTGTCTCAAAAATTATGGAAGAATTTAAAATAATTTTTTTTACAATTTACAATCATGATTCCTCAAAATATCAGCAACTTTATAGTTTTCTCTGATTAATGCACAAGCCAATGGAGTTGCGTCTTCATAATCTTTTTCATTCTTTAGTGTCTCAGGGAGAGATAACAGGTATTCGCAAATTTCGGGTTGCTCATTTAATGCAGCGATGTGAAGAGCGGTCAATCCTGTTGCTGTTTTTGAGTTGACGTCAATGAATTTTAATGCGAACTTAACTCCTTCCAAGCTGCTTGTTTGAGCAAATTTGTGTAGAATATTATGATCAAAGTCGTCTTTGCATTGTATATCTGCACCAAACTTGTGTAATAATTCAACAAGTGCCAAATTTCCCTGGGATGCGGAAATTAAAACTAAGTTTGGATGTAAGTTACTTGAATGACGAATGTCGCATATTCCATCTTCAACTGCATATTTGATTGATACTTCATCTCCTTCAGCGACGGCGTCTTGGAGAATTTCATAAAATATTGGAACGTTTTCTGGGACTTTGGTCAATCTTTTTAGGTTCTGTAAATTTTCTTCTGAGGTTCTTGACTGTAAAGCTTTTTGAGAGGATTTCTGGGCTTTAGGCGAAGATTCCTCACCCGATATATTTTGTTGTTTTGAATCTTGGGTCTCGGTATAACGTGTTTTGATTAAGGTAATAGCTTCGCGTAAAATATTGATATTTAACAGCTTTGAAATGATTTCAATAAGAGTGAAAACGTTACTCATTCTTGTTCCATATGTGAGCTTGGCATGCTGTATAATTTCTAATTTGGCGGAGTCATCAAAACACTTGTTAATGTGTTTGGACATTTTCGAAAATTTTTTAATATCCAACTCGCAAAGTTTTAATAATTGTCCCAACTGCTCAGCCGTACGTAATTCATAAAATTCTTTATTATCATACCATTCATCGATTCTCTGTGAGTAATACTGGAGATCAATAGTCATAATGATTTTACGACTTTCACTTCAATGAAAAAAAAAGCATAAGATTTGATAAGTTCTAGATACTTATTTGCCTATTTGACATAAAATATAAGAATATGAAAATCGTATTGCGACTATTTTTTTTCCTCAATAAATTTTTAATTTTTTCAAATTATTGTAAGTTTTCCTTGTATGGAAAGGATTATCACATACTCAGAAACATTTATGTTATTATTAACTCTGGAAAATCTTGATTAAAAATAATTCGAGTCAATTGGATTTCAAATTACTGTATTCATATATTTCATTGAATTTGGTTAAACACTTTTCATAAGCAGAAATGTATTTATTACTTCTCATATATAAATTTTTCAAAATGCCAATTTTGTTTTTGAATCAGTATGGATAAGACGAATGTCAAGAGAAATATATAATGTATATTTATATAAAAAGTCTATAAAATGTTGTATGAACTAAAAATGCTTCGCTTTGGAAAGAAATTGTAATTAATATTTTAATGAGTTATTTAATTATCAAAATAAGTCATTACGTTATAATTAAACTTTCATGTCTTATCTTAATGATATGAATTTTAATTTTCAATTTTTTTACAATTTCGTATTCAATGGTTTTATAATGGAAAATAGCTTGAATTGGGGAGTCACGGTGTATCACCTTCAGTGTACTTTATTTGAAATGGTAGTCTGATCTATATTCGAGATGTGATCTCTTTGTTAATTGAATGAAAAGTGTCAGGATACATCTTAATTTTTCAATCAAAAAATAAATAATTTGTTAACTTTCTGATCCAAATTTTTTCAATCAAAGAATGATTGTATCACTTGGCAAAGACCATCAGAGATATATTTTTAACATTATCTTTAAGATTTAATTTAAATAGAAGAAGTTTTATCATATTTATTCAAATAAGAAGGAGAATTCGATTAAATCTAAAAAGGAATTTAGAATATGAGAATATCATCTTATCGCCAATTATATATCAATTCAATAGATTCAATCTCTCAGCACTATGTTATATAGAAGAATGAATTTAATATGAATGCAATTAAAGCTTTTTATCATTATTCTGCAATGATTTCCGAAAATTCAACACAGCTCATTATTACCGTGTGTCCAAAATGATCTTATACTTGAAATTCGCTTTAAAATGACTGGCCTACTTTCTTATTTCGGTTGAATAAAGACAATAGAATTCGGTGAGTATTCAATTTGAACTGCCGAAAACTTTACATGTAAAGTGGATTTGAATTGGCAGATTATTGATCCTTTCAATAAATGTGTTGGCTGATCAAAACAAATTATCTCTGACGTTGAATAGTTAATAAGTTTAAGATATAATTTATAAAAAATATAAAATTGAAGGGGATCCACTTCGTTGTCAGTGTTAATTATAATTCTAAATACTCTATGAATAAACAGATATGTTTTTATCTGATTCATAGTGAAAATCTGAAATTGTCAAAAATAAAAATTGCAAAAAAGGCATTTTAGTCATTGAACCAGTAAGCATGCAAAATGCAGATTTTTTAAAAAATTAATAGGTCGAATAGATAAAATCATGAAAATTTGACTCTGTTCAATTTTCGTGGTTTAAAAATTCTATAATGTGAAATTATATGAAGGAATAAATTGGTAGTGTTTTGCAATCACATTTGGTTACAAAATTGAATGCAATAAAATTTGACATATTTCAAATTCCGGAACGGAGGTTTTATAAATAAAAAGTCATTAGAGAATATGTAAATTTACCAAAGCTTTGAATTGAATGAAAAATGTAGTTTTGAAAAATAGTGACCTGCCGCAAGAAAATTAGTACAATAGAAAAAAATTGAAATACTGGTGAATGATGTATAGTAAAATAACTTTCATAATGAGAAATTACTTATATTATTATATCCTTCAATTTCAAATTTAAATAGTATCGTATTGCCAACCTATAAATTCAATTATATAATAAAAATTGAAAGGATTTCACAATTTCAAAAATTCAAAATGGATCTTATTATTGAGATACATCGTTGACCAATTATATCTTTGATATATAAAGTTGCAATATATCTAATAATTATCAGTTGTCATTTTTGAATAATGGATTCTTTTGAATGCGATTTTACAATTCCTTTCAAAATATTATTTACAAATAATTGTTTTCTTGTAAAATATGAATCATAAAAACAATAATTTTAGAATTTATTTGTGGAGGGTCAGAAGCGGTTTGAAGTATTGAAACATTTGTCAGAAATTATTAAGCATGAGGTATGGAACGTCTCAGAGGCAAAGCAGCAAAAAGTTTCACAAGCCGAAGGCTAAGTGGTCTCCCGAAGAGGACAAACTATTGATCAGTGCTGTTGAAGCTAATGGACCAACCAAGTGGGGTCATTATTGATTTTGTAATTTAATCGTCGTCGTTATCGATTTTGTAATTTAATCGTTATCGTCTTTTTCTAAACGTGCATTTTTTGCTTTCGGAGCTATTGAACATACATTGGCCCTTACCAGCAATTGAAAACTATTTTTCATTATCAACAATTACATTACTCCGAGTTATTCATCAATCAATGAAAATCGATATATAGTCCATACTTCAATTTACAATATTGGCAAGTCCGATTTCACTTGGCATATTTAACTCATATAGAAAAACCAGTTGGAATCGGCAAAATTATCTTTAATTCCATACATAAGAAAAAAAATTATAAAGTTCTTCAATAATAGCAAACTAATAGTTTAAATAGATTTACAAGTATCGCCCATCTACTTTTGATATAATTCACATATTAAATGTAGAAAACTGGTTTAAAATAAATATTTCAAAAGTTCGAAAACGATTTATGAAAAAATAACGTGATGACATTTACTAAATTTGCTCTGTATTAAAGTATCGATGATAGAAAGAGCATATTTTGTAAATATTTCAAAAATATTTAAAAGTCGGAGAAATTGTATTGTAATGTACTATAATTATGTTACAAATCCGATTTAATACTAATCCTTCGCTATTGAAGTTGTTTTGAGAAGGATATTCTCTAAATTCTTGATAAATCTTTAAAATCTAGAGTAATCGTTTTGTAAACTTAACAAAACTAAAATGTATACCAATAGATTGGCATTTTCTACGTTTTCAAAGTGAGAGAGTGTAAATTCTTTTTTTTTATCCTATTAAGGTTTTTAAAAAATTTATTTAACAATAGGATGTTTAACACTAATTTTTTAAGGACTTCGACTTTAGCATCACATAAATATGTTATTTTCTATATTAAAACGTAATTTTGGTGGTCTTAGAATAGAAAAATATGCAATATTCGTGGAGATAATGAGGGTTCTTAAACATGTTCTTAAAAATAAATAAAATAATACAAATCTTTATTCAATCTTTTGATATTGTTGGTCCTCTCTTTGTGAAAATACTTAACTTCAAAGAGTATTATGTTTTACCTAGTGAGGACCTTAAGTTTGCAAAAACATAATAAAAGTAAAATAAAAAAGATCTGATTTATCACAAAACTTTGAGTATTATAGGATTTAATATATTTTCTTAGTAGATTATATGATTTAGTTTCTTAAAATCTAAAGTATTTCTTGAGGAAAATATAAATTGAAATTCAAAAAGTAAAAAAATGTAAACAAATCAAATTTTAAATGGACCAAATGTTGATTTTTCATTCGTTTTCTCATTATCGAAAAAAATTTGGAAAGCTAAGAAGTCAATAACAAGTTATATAATACAACAAAACCCATCGGATATGTTTTCATCAAATAGTCTCCTAGATTTGTTATGAAATTAAAATATCATGATATTTTAAGGGCTTTTGATTTCAATATTAGAATTATTCAGTTATATCGTGCTAATATCAATTGCTTTATACAATTAATCGTTTACAAGCTGCAAAAATCGAACAATAATTTGACTTTGTAAAAAAAGTGCGTCATTTTTATTCGTTATACTTACAAAATGTAAACATTACGAGAAACATTTACATTTGTAAATGTAACAAGTAAAGTTGTATCGCATAATTTGACTTTGTAAAAAAAGTGCGTCATTTTTATTCGTTATACTTACAAAATGTAAACATTACGAGAAACATTTACATTTGTAAATGTAACAAGTAAAGTTGTATCGCATAATTTGACTTTGTAAAAAAAGTGCGTCATTTTTATTCGTTATACTTACAAAATGTAAACATTACGAGAAACATTTACATTTGTAAATGTAACAAGTAAATACATCAGATTTAAATTGTAAATGTAGTTTATCTCTCTCATCTCCTTTTTAAAAGGTATTACATACATACGAACGCATGGGTCACTCAATAATTAGCGTGATAATAATTGAGGATAGACTGTAATCGTAATTTTATTTTTGGACTTATATTTCGACATTTTGAAGTCGCTTGAAAGTCTTGCAAATGATTAAATTTGGAAAATTTGACCTAAGTCTGCATTATTTTGATGACTTAAACAATTCTATAAATCTGTTTTCCTAAAAATTTAAAAAGATATAATTTCAATTTCCCTAAATTTATGTAATTCATATATCACCAAAATATTTGGACTGCATTTCGTTTGTCTGCACCTAATTAAAGTCTAAATACCAATTAATTTTGGAGTTGCATTGCTTTTAATGTAAAAATGCACGTTTAGAAAAAGACGATAACGATTAAATTACAAAATCGATAACGACGACGATTAAATTACAAAATCGATAACCTCTCAACCAAGTGGGATCAAATTGCAAAGAATATTGAAGGAAGAACAGGAAAGCAATGCCGTGAAAGATGGCTTGCTAACTTGGATCCAAAAATTAATAGTAGCCCATTTACAAGAGATGAAGACGAACTAATTATACATTTGCACGGAAAATATGGAAATCAATGGAAAAAGATCTCAGGATTCATTATAGGAAGAACTGATATTGCCATTAAGAACCGATGGCGGTCCTTACGAAGAAAAATGCTTTGCATCGAAAACTACAATAGTAGCAAGAATTCTGATTCAACCTC